CACAGGCTTCTTGGAGGTGGCAGCAGCAGTCTTAGCATCTCAGGCCCACCTCTGGGGTCCACGCTGTTAGCCGCGGCTCACACCCATCTCTGGAGCGCCTTTATGCTGTGCTCTTAATCCTCTCTCCTCACGCACCAGGAAACAAAGAGGGAAGAAAAAGTCTCTTGCCTCTTTGGCAGGTCCTGAATTTTTCTCGAACCCCCTCCCGGCTAGCCATGGTGCACTAACCCCTTCAGGCTGTGTTCACGCCACCAGTCCTCTCCCTGAGCTCCTACCGAAGCTTGAGCCTCAGCTCCCAACCCCGCCTGCCCTGGTGGGTGAGCAGACAAGCCTCTCAGACTGGTGAGTGCTGGTCAGCACTGATCCTCTGTGCGGAAATCTTTCTGCTTTGCCCTCTGCACCCCTGTTGCCGTGCTCTCCTCCGCGACTTCGAAGCTTCCCTCCCTTCCGCCACCTGCAGTCTCCGCCCACAAAGTGGCTTCTAGTTTTTGAAACCTTTCCTCCTTCACGGCTCCCTGCCACTGATGCAGGTCCCGTCCCTATTCTTTTGTCTCTGTTTATTCTTTTTTCTTTGGCCCTACACGGGTACATGTGGTGTTTGTTGCCTTTTGGGAAGTCTGTCTTCTGCCAGCGTTCAGTAGGTGTTCTGTAGCAGTTGTTCCACCTGTAGATGTATTTCTGATGTATCTGTTGGGAGGAAGGTGATGTCCACATCTTACTCTTCTGCCATCTTCCCCGTCTCCCCTCCTTGATGTTAAGTTGTATGACCTATTTATATATTTTGGTTATCAACCGCTTATGAGTCCTATCATTTGCTAATATTTTCACCCATTCAGTAGCTTGTATTTTGTTTTGATTGATAATTTCCTTCGCTGTGCAAAACTTCTAAGTTTATCAGGTCCCATTTGTTTATTTTTGCTTTTATTTCCTTTAGTTTATTTCCTTTACTTTAGGAGATTGATTCAACAAATAAAAATATGGCTGTGATTTATGTCAAAGAGTGTCTCACCTATATTTTCCTCTAGGAGATTTATAGCATCCCGTCTTACATTTTGGTCTTTGATCCATTTTTTAATATGTATATTTTTGTACATTAGATAATGTTCTAATTTAAGTTTTATGCATGTAGCTGTTCAGTTTTTCCAGTACCGTTTATTGAAGAGGCCATCTTTTCTCCACTGTATATGTTTGTCTCCTTTGTTGTAGATTAATTGATCATAAGTGCGTGGGTTTATTTCTGGGCTCTCTATTCTGTTTTATTGATCTATGTGTCTGGTTTTGTCCCAATACCATACTATTTTGATTACTGTATCTTTATAGTTTAGTCTGAATTCAGGGGGTCTGATTCCTTAAGCTCCATCATCTTTCTCAAGATTCTCTTCTTCAAAGCTGGAGAAACCACACACCCTGTCTTCAGACTATACCACAAATCTACATTACTCAAAACAGTATTGTACTGGCACAAAAACAGAAATAAAGATCAGTGGAATGGGATAGAAAGCCCAGAAATAAACCCACACACTTATGGTAAATTATTCTAGTCCTTTTGTCTTTTATCCTTTATACTAAGTTGAGTGATTTGTGAACCATCATTACAATATGGGAGTGATTTCATTTATTATATATTTACATTTACCAGTGAGTTTTATCCTTTCATATGTTTTCATGTCACTAATTAGCAACATTTTGTTTCTGCTTGAAGAACTCCCTGTAACAATCATTTTAAGAGTAGTCTAGTGGTGATATACTCCTTCAGCTTTTTTTTTTTTTAAATCAGGGAATCTTATTATCTCTCTTCATTTCTGAAATACAGAGTTTCTGTGTAGAGTGTTCTTAGTTGGCAGTATTTTTCTTTTAGTACCTTGAATTTATCCTTTCTCTCCCTCTGGACTACAAGGTTTCTGTTGAAAAATCCACTGAGAGTTGTATGGGGTTGAAAATGTGCTTTTCTCTTGCTGCTTTTAGATTTCTCCCTCTCTCTTTTTAAAAACATTTTACAATTTAGTTAAAATGTGTCTTCATGTTTGTCTCTGTCTTCTTCTTATTTGGTGTTCCTTGGATTTCCTCATTCTGGATATCTATTTTTTCCTTTGGGTTTTGGAAGATTTCACCTATTATTACTTTTAATAAGCCTTCTGCCATTTTCTCTCTCTTATTATTCTTCTGGGATACTATAATTTATATATTGGTCTGCCTGAAGGTGTCCCAAAACTCCTTTATGTTATCCTGCTTCTCTTTCATTGGTTTTTCTTTTTGCTGCTTTTACTATGTGATGTCCACTGCCCTGGATTCAAGGTTGATGATCTTTTCTTCTGCTTAATCTTGTGTGCTGTTGAACTTGTATATTCAATTTTTCAGTTTGGTAATTGTATTTCTTAACTCAGTGTTTTATGTTTGGTAATTTTAAAAATGTATTTCTCTGTTGTAATTTTCACTTTTTCACGCATTGCTCTCCTGACCGCAGTGAACATCTTTATTACCATTATTTTAAACTATTTGTTTGGGAAGTCACTTATCTCCTTCTTATTAAGGTTGGCTCCTGGAGATTTATATTGTTCTTTGGCTTAGAACATATACCTTTCTTTCTTTGCTTTCCTTGACTCTTTGTGTTGGTCTGTGCATTACCTCAAACAGACTGGCCTTGTGTACTGGATGAAAATCAGCAATGAGCCTGGCTGGAGCTCCTGGTTGCCTTGTAAACCTTTGTGATTTTTCAAGCTTCCATCCTTTTTCTTAGTGGCTCCCAGTAGATTAAAGGGTTACAAGATCCATCAGTGTCCCAAAGGCATTGGAAAGGCCCACATGTTTGTTCAGACTCCCAGTGGACTGCTAACTTTATGGTCCCTCAGTTCTTTTATAGGGAGGTTAATTGTAAGCCAAACTTCAAGTAGCAGCTGGGAAATTCAGGACATTAGATATGCAGTCTAGTCTCTATCATTGTGAATCCAGGAATTGGATGCTTTTTCCTAGTGACTCTGTGCTTACCCAGAGGGAATAGTCTCTGGGAGTGCTTGTGTGCCCAGAGTGGTACTGTGTGACTTGTGAATGCCAAGCCCTATCAGAGTCCAGACCTAGGTGATTTGGCAGCCTGTTACTCAAGTGGCAGCATCAACAGTTGGAGTGCTCAATGTGTGGACAAGTTCTTTCTAGGTCAAATCTGGAGAATTGGTTTTACTGTTCAAGCAAGCCATAAGGAGATGGAGGGGATGTGCCCATAAGTTCTTTCAGGATCCCAGGAGACTCTCAGTCTGCTCCCACATATAGGCTGATTAGAAACCAGCCTCTCAGGCTGTAAAAGTATGCTGTCAAACCCCTACTATGGAGTAACTATGGGATGGTCATCTTTGCCTGATTTCTGTGTGCTGAGCCTAGGTGATATAACTGTGGGAGTGCTTATGCACCATTTTGTAAACTGCTTCTTCTTTTGCTATGGCCCTGTAAGGTCTGTGAATGCAAGCCCTGTTGTCTATCTGAGCTAGGAGATTTAGGGACCCATCCTTCAGTGGCAGCCATAAAAGTTAAGGTACTAGATGTGTGGTGAAACCCCTAACTCTGTAGAGATAAGCAAGAAGTTGAGAGGTGACTCCTAAGACACTGCCAGAAATGGGCTTCATAACAAGAGTTTGGCTCAGCCTCTCCTATCCATTTCATTGTAGGTATTTTCTCAAGTGCACAATGCATAGGAGTCAGCCAACTAGGTTCTGGATTTTTCTCAGAGGAACTTGATCCATGTATAGCTGTATAATCAGTGCATATGTGGGAGGAAGGAAAGTCAGTTGCTTCCTACCTGGCCATCTGAGTGATGTCACTAGAGACAATACCTTTTAAAGATCACCTCTTTGCTGTGGTAAAATAAACATAACATCTTTTTACCCATTTTTAAGTACAGAGTTGAGTTTAGTGGCATTAAATACATTTACACTGTTGTGCAACTATCACCACCATCCACCCTCAGAAATTTTAATCTTCCCAATCTGAAACTCCATACCCATTAAGCAATAAATCTCCATTCCTCCCTCCCCCTAGCCCCTGTCAACCACCGTTCTACTTTCTGTTTCTATGAATTTGACTATTCTGGGTAAGTAGTACAAATGGAATTATACAATATTTGACCTTTTTCTCTGGCACATCTCATTTAGCATAATGTCCTTAAGGTTCATCCATGTTGTATGTATTAGAATTTCCTTCATTTTCAAGGGTGGATAATATTGCATCATAGTATATATATATCACATATTGTTTATCTATTAATCCACCAATGGACATTTGTGTTACTTTCACCATTTGGCTATCATGAATAATGCTGCTATGAATATGGGTGTGTAAATATTGCTTCAACATCCTGCATTCATTGTTTTGGCTATATACCCAGAAATGGAATTACTGAATCATATGCAAATTGCATTTTTAAATTTTTGAGAAATTGCCGTATCATTTTCAATAGAGGCTCCATCCTTCTACAATTCTCACCAATAATGCACAATGGTTCTTATTTCTCCACATTCTCAGCAACACTTGTTATTTTTTGGTTTGTTTGCTTTATACACGCCATCCCAGTGGGAATGAGATGATATCTTATTGTGGTTATAATTTGTGTTTTGCTGATGATTAGTGAAGTTGAGCATCTTTCTATATACCTATTGGCCACTTTGTACATCTTTGAAGTAATATCTATGCAAGTCCTTTGTCCATTTTTTTTTAATTGGGTTTGTTGTTGTTGAGTTGTAGAAGTTCTTTATTCGGTGTGAATATTAACTATCAGTATATAAGTTGAAAATAGTCTCTTCCATTCTATCGGTTACCTTTTCCAACTCTTGATTGGGTCATTTGATACACATTTTTTAAAAAGTTTTTGATGTTTTCAAATTTATCTATCTTTACTTTTGTAGCCTTCAATTTTGGTGTCATATTCAAGAAATCATTACTAAATATAAGGGTAGGGGTTTAAGAGGTACAAACTATTAGGTAAAAAAAAGCTACAAGAATATATTTTACAACACAGAGAATATAGCAAATATTTTATAATAACTATAAATGGAGTATAGCCTTTAAAATTGTGAATCACAATTTTGTACACTTATAACTTGTATAATATTATGCAACTATACTTCAGTAAAAAAAAAAATCATTTCCAAATCAAGTTTCATGAATTGTTTACCCTTTATTTTCTTCTAAGAGTTTCATAGTTTTAGTTCTAACTTTTAAAAATATTTATTTATTTATTTTTGGCTGCGTTGGATCTTTGCTGCTGGGCACAGGCTTTCTCTAGCTACAGAGAGCAGGGTCTACTCTTTGTTGCAGTGCACGGGCTTCTCATTGTGGTGGCTTCTCTTGTTGCGGGGCACGGACTCTAGTCACATGGGCTTCAGTAGTTGCTGTGCGTGGGCTCAGTAGTTGTGGCTCACGGGCTCTAGAGTGCAGGCTCAGTAGTTGTGGCACATGGGCTTAGTTGCTCCATGGCATGTGGGATCTTCCTGGACCAGGGCTCGAACCCGTGTCTTGTTCATTGGCAGGCGGATTCCCAACCACTGCACCACCAGGGTGTTCATTTTTGTATATGGTGTAAGATAAGGATCCTACTTCGTTCTTCGCATGTGAATATCCACTTTTCCCACCAAAGTTATCAAATCAAGTTTGTTTGCCTGACACATAGCAAGCCAAAATGCTGGGATGCTCAAGTTTGCAGCAAAGAAAGGGTTTATTTACAAGGAAGCCAGGTGAGGAGTTTGGAGAACCAGTCTCAGATCTGCCGCCCCAAAGGAACTTTCTGCCCCATATCCAGTGCCAGGCTGTGATGTGGAGTTGGTAGACCCAGAGAATTCACTAGGCTGAGAATGGGAATCACAGCTTGTTGGTCATGGGGGCTCAAGTGGCTGTGTTGCCTTCACAGATCAGGGCTACCTCTGTGGTGCTGTTTGAGTATTCACCAGAAATGGCTGCTGCTGCTTCATCCAGACTACTCCCCAGGCACCCTGGGTATCTTTGTGTCACTAGATCAAGTTTTTTGTCAGGACCTCACTTCCCTATATCCCATGTCAAACTGTGGTGTTGAGTGAACAGAGTCGGGGTGTTTGTCAGCTCAGATTGGGGAGCGTGCTGAGGCAGCAGTTGCCAGTGCAGAACTCTCTCCATCTGCCCTGTCTGTTGGCAAGCCAGCACCTACGCACTCCTCATGAGTGGAATCTAGGCTTCTCAGTCCTTCTGTCTGTCCCAGTGGTTCTTCCAGCAGCAAAGGGGGCTTGTCTATTCCACATAAGGCCCTGGGACTGTGGTTCACTCCCCAGGGTGAGAGTCTGCTCATGCAATCTTTCTTTTCCTTTTAGACTCTGCCCAGGGGCACAGATCCTGACCTTATGCTTTTTTCCCCCAGTTCTACCCAGTTACATGGGAAACATTTTTGCAGCCTTGGTTGTATAGGAGTTCTTCTGCCAGTTTCCAGTTAGATTTTTGTGTGAATTGCTCCACATGTAGAAGTATTTTTGATGTGTTTGTTGGGGGAGGTAAGCTTCACATCTTCTTACTCTGCCATATTGATCTCCCCTCCTAGGATATACATATATATAGTTATCCACGTTGGGGAAAACTAATCAGACATAGTAAACTAACACAGAGACATGCTGATGGGGAAACTTTTTTTTTTTTGCGGTATGCGGGTCTCTCACCATTGTGGCTCCTCCCACTGCAGAGCACAGGCTCCGGACGTGCAGGCCCAGCGGCCACGGCCACGGCCTATGGGCCCAGCTGCTCCGCGGCACGTGGGATCCTCCCAGACCAGGGTACGAAACCGCGTCCCCTGCATCGGCAGGCGGACTCCCAACCACTGCGCCACCAGGCAAGCCCTGGGGAAACATTTTATATGCTATACATTTTATTAGTTATACTGAATTGTCACACAAACATTGTACATGTGCTTTTAGCAGTGGACTTAAAGCAAAAAGTGTTACATGTTATGAGTAGTTATACTCTGTGATAACTTCACTAGAGAATTTTCTCTTTCCCCTGAACACTGAAGCAAAAGTATAGCTAGAAGTAATACAATAAATTATACTTTTGATAAGGAGATAAACATTTGGAAAACAGTTCACATTGAATTAGTAGGATAAGTCTTACAGGCCTGGCCCGGATTCTTAGTCACCTGTCTACTGTTGTCATTTACTTATCATCCTGATGTGGGTTTCATTTGAAGTCAGAAATCCTTTCTATATACCAGTACAATTTAAAAGGCTGTCTTAAATGAAAATATGAATTCAAGAGTCAATTTCCTTCAGTTTCACTGTGTAGGAGTTTATTAAGAATACCTGATAATGGTTCTTTCATCTAGGTTAGAGGGCTAGTTCTTTAAATGATGCCTTTTCCAGTATGCATAATCCCCTTGTTGTACGTCATGGGGCATCTGATCGTCATCCAAAGAGAGACTGTGATCAACTTCAGAAACAAGCTCAGGATATCCTTTTAATAATTCAGTTAGACTTACAATAATGTAACATAGCAACAAGAAGACATCTTGGATGTAGATGATAAATACAAAACCTCAGTATATACAAAACCTCAGTATCCACAAAGGTATATTATCGAAACATAATTTTTTGTCTCTAGATTATCCTAATTTTAACCAAATCTAGCAAATTAAGACAAAGTTTTGTGCAAAATAAGTCTGGTTAATTGATCCTAAAGGCTCCTTTGAATTGGCTGTGTGGAAATTTTCATAAAGAATTTCAATTTGAACTTTTAAAAATTGTCTCAAGTCCAGGAAAGTAACGCCAAGGATGTGTCATCAGATTGTGTTTGTTATATCTACAGATTTAGGCAAATTACTTTCTTGTAGGCATCCAAAATATCTTGAGGTCCCTGCACTTGTTAGAAAGTGCACTTCCTTACTCACTTGGAAAGGCTGCTGGGAACCCTGTCAGCAAAGGATCTTGTTGTCTTTCAAAGGGGCTTCGTGACTCCATAATGTCCACCTTAGCTCTTTGAAGTTGTCTGGTCACACTTGATTTTATGTATTTTCCATATATGACATTTCAGTCAAAGCCATGGTAACATAACGAATATTTTCAACTGAGTCCTCTTATAAGGAGAAGAGATTCTTACTAAACACAGGCAAATAACTATATTGCCATAAAAATAAGGACACTCACTAAAAGTTTCCAAATTCTGGAGGGGACAGGCAGAGAGAAAAGATAAATGCTTCAATTCTACTCACAAAAGTATAATTTACCAAGTTGCTATACATCATAATTAGCTTAATGGGAAATGCTTCTTTATATCTGGGGAAAAAATACTAAAAGCTAGTAATATATTAGACAAAAAACATAAAATTGTAACAATATTCATTCACTCACTGATGCTATGTAATTAATCCTGTGCTAACAGTTTATGAAACCATCAGGGTTTACACTAGAATTCTTCAATTTCTTATGGAGCTAAGTGGCATGATCTGAAAGCTATCAGAAACCCGTACTTGTCAAAAAGTTCTTTCTATGAATCTTCTTGAAAATGAAGCATTTTTTGAAATCTTTATTGGAGTATAATTGCTTTACAATGATGTGTTAGTTTCTGCATTATAACAAAGTGAATCAGCTATACATATACACATGTTCCCATATCTCTTCCCTCATGCGTCTCCCTCCCTCCCACCCTCCATATCCCACCCTCTAGGTGGTCACAAACCAGCGAGCTGACCTCCATGTGCGATGCGGCTGCTTCCCACTAGCTATCTATTTTATGTTTGGTAATGGATATATGTCCATGCACTCTATCACTTTGTCACAGCTTACCCTTCTCCCTCCCCATATCCTCAAGTCCATTCTCTAGTAGGTCTGTGTCCTTATTCCCGCCTTACCCCTAGGTGCTACATGACCTTTGTTTTCTTTTCTTAAATTCCATATATATGTGTTAGAATACGGTATTTGTTTTTCTCTTTCTGACTTACTTCACTCTGTATGACAGACTCAAAGTCCATCCACCTCACTACAAATAACTCAATTTCGTTTCTTTTTATGGCTGAGTAATATTCCATTATATATATATGTGCCACATCTTCTTTATCCATTCCTCTGTTGATGGACACTTACCTTGCTTCCATGTCCTGGCTATTGTAAATAGAGCTGCCATGAACATTTTGGTACATGACTCTTTTTGAATTATGGTTATCTCAGGGTATATGCCCAGTAGTGAGATTGCTGGGTTGTATGGTAGTTCTATTTTTAGTTTTTTAAGGAACCTCCATACTGTTGTCCATAGGGGCTGTATCAATTTAAATTCCCACTAACAGTGCAAGAGGGTTCCGTTTTCTCCACACCCTCTCTAGTATTTATTGTTTGTAGATTTTTTTGATGATGGCCATTCTGACCGGTGTGAGATGATATCTCATTGTACTTCTGATTTGCATTTCTCTAATGATTAGTGATGTTGAGCATCCTTTCATGTGTTTGTTGTCAATATGAATATCCTTTTGGAGAAATGTCTATTTAGGTCTTCTGCCTATTTTAGCAATTTTTTGTTGTTGTTTGTTTTTTTTTATACTGAGCTGCTTGTATATTTTGGAGATTAATGCTTTTTCAGTGCTTCACTTGCAAATATTTTCTCCCATTCTGAGGGCTGTCTTTTCATCTTGTTTATGGTTTCCTTTGTTGTGGAAAATCTTTTAAGTTTCAGTATGTCCCATTTGCTTATTTTTGTTTTAATTTCCATTTCTCTAGGAGGTAGGTCGAAAAGGATCATGCTGTGATATATGTCGCAGGGTGTTCTTTGTATGTTTTCCTCTAAGGGTTTTATAGTGTCTGGCTTTACATATGGGTATTTAATCCATTTTGAGTTTATTTTTGTGTATGGTGTTAGGAATTATTCTAACATAATTCTTTTAAAAGTAGCTGTCCAGTTTTCCCAACACCACTTATTGAAGAGGCTGTCTTTTTGCCATTGTATATTCTTGCATCCTTTCTCAAAGAAAAGGTGACCATATGTGCGTGGGTTTATCTCTGGGCTTTCTATGCTGTTCCCTTGATCTGTATTTCTGTTTTTGTTGTAGTACCATGTTGTCCTGATTACTGTAGTATAGCCTGAAGTCAGGGAGCCTCATTCCTCCAGCTCCATTTTTCTTTCTCA